TGCCCCGTGTGAGGCTCGAACTCACGACCTTCAGATTATGAGACTGACGCGCTGCCTACTGCGCCAACGAGGCTTGGAGACACAAAAAACCAGTAGTGCTTATAAAGGGACTCTAACTACCCACAGACTTTAGTGTCCATTTAAAATATACAAGAGAGGTGGTTGTGTTTTTTATGCACTGCTTTCGTCTGGCTTTGCCTCTCACTGATTTAGGGCTTGTTGACCTAAACATAAAGAAATTGGGGCACTTTGTACTTTCCATACTACTTATAAATGAGGCCACTGCATAACAAGCATGCATCTCACTAGAGCACCACCAGTTACAACTGAAACACTGTTAAAAGTGGGTTCTTAAAGGTGTATAGGGCAGCATTTTGGCTCAGATTACATGCTAACAAAGGCACACTGTGGCACTTTCCACTTACTGCTTATCCTTACAGCAACTACATAAAAAGCAGCATTCACTACATCTTACTGCAGCGCCATAAATTGCAATTGTAACGTTGCTAAAAGTGTTTTTGACAGTGTATAACGCAGCTTTTTTTAGACTGTACTGCATGCAAACTGAGGGGAAAGAGGGCACTTTTTACTTGCCATACAATTTACCTGAAATGCGATTGGTTGTTGCTTGTGTTTTGCACTAGAGGGCAGCAGAGTGCTCCGTCCTCCCATTGGATAAAATGCCACCCCTCCTACCTTCTGTAAGTGGTAACAGGTGTGTTCTTCGCTTTGCAAATTCTCTTAATTATGTTACAATAGCACCACAATTATGTTATACATCTCCTTCCTTAATAGCTGAAGTTGAGGTACACGGCGTATTTTCTGTGTTTGTTTTTATTGATAAAAAGATGCTAAAAGCATTTAGCTTTACTAGCCTGCTCTCCATTTCCATAAAGGCAACGCTACAGGGGTCATGCAACTCACCTCCAAGGTTAACCGTCAAGGGCACAAGCTGTGGAACTTATTTCATATATAGCTGTGAAAATAGCAGCGTTTCAGTTGCTTTAAATGAATATAAAAGTCTAAAAGGGGGTTAATAACCAGGTAATGTGCCACCTTCAGTAGCTAGCTGCGCACTAGGCTAACCGCGTATTACCGTGTGCAACAGGTTAGCTTCTTGTGCTAGCTCGTTGGTAAACTGCTCTCCTCGGAGGTTTAGCTGAATTTAGCTAACATGCCGTTTAACATCGAGCAAAAACACAAAAGCAACACGGGTAAATAAAAAAAAGTTATGTGTGTTTGCGTGAAAGTGACTCACCGAATGAGGCGACGTTTTCCAGCCGCGACAAGAAGTCCGGAGCTCGACATTAGCAGCTGGCAAAGTCCGTTCCTCCGCGTCTCGTTCCTTCGAATTTAAAAAAAAACACATTCTTTCGAATTGTCCAAGCAAAATGAAACACGAATCTATCCAAAATGTGTAAAAGTAAGCGGTAATAAGCGCAGGGTGACCGTGTAAATCCGTCATTACCGCCTGCGACGTGACCCGCAGACACCGCGGTACCTTCAATTAACGAGGGGCCAATGGAGGAACCGCGATCACGTGATGCGCGCCCCACAAACAAGCAGCACTTAAAAAAACTACAATGTCCTCAAAAAATGCACCGAATGCAAGTGTGCGCCTTTTGGGAGTTGTAGTTTATTTACAGGGTTAAGCGTTCAGTCCAAAATGTTGGATTTTTAAAGATTTTTATTTTTTTTTTAAGAAGTCTTGCAGCAAAAATGTTAATCAAAACTGATTAAAAATACTTTATTTTTTCTTAAAATATTTTCTTATTCCATTATCTTGTTTAATTAGTGTGTAATCGTATTAATGTTTGTGGCTATATAATGTGAAAACCTCTTTGTGTGGTTATAAAAAGTGAAATCAGCAAAGAACAAAATGAAGACCAGCAAACCAAAAGCCATATTTAATAATTTAATTTCACCATGCATAAACCATATAGAAAATACTTTACAGCAATGACAGTAACAATTAAAAAAAAAAGGACATCTCATGATGCTAAAAAAAAAAAAAAGTAGGTGTCACAGATCACTGGAGGCTCACAAGTTGTCATGGGGTTAGTCTGACGATAGTTAGTACATGGTTAGGTAAAGAAAACAGTTAAGATAAAGAAGACATGAAAAAAAAAACAAGGTTGGTTAGAAAAAATGCTGATGTCTATGTTACATCCATTCGATTGATATTTAACTTCAGCTCTGCTTTGCAAAACGGGCCTCGATGCCTGGTGGGTCGACACAGGTTAATCAGTGACCCCCGACAAAAATGGGGGTAGAAATAAGTAAAAAGGTGGGGGTTAGTGTGTTTTAGTTGAGGTGGATGGGGGTACATGCAGAAGGCATTCATTCTACACCTCCACCCCTTTAAATGGCACTAGTTTTAAAAAAAAATAAAGACAAAAAACATGGCAAATACACTCCTTCATATGACAGACGGAATTAATACTGCTTTCATCACATCATCTGTATGGCATTAGTCTAAGCTATGTTAGGTAAAATCTCATTGTCTCTGTCTGTAGAAGGCAGAAGAGGAAAACAAAGTGAAAAAGAACCAAAAAATAAAATAAAATCAACCCACTTCTCTCCCACGTAAGAATCATTATTATTATTATTACTTCCCACAGTTTCACAGTTAGATTAAATGGCTGGAGTGACAGATGGGAAGCGCCACCTGGATGACAAACACTGATGCAAAGTAATTAACATTATGAGTTTTTTTGTTTTATTGAGCTTCTTTGCTTTGATTTGTGGGGTGGGATATTAAAAAAAAAAAAATAAAAAATCTTTCGAATGACTGGAGCGTGCTGGAATGATCCCACCCAGGCCAATAAAGCAGACAGGCCTGGAAATTATCAGCCTGCTTGGTAGCGCTACTTAATTACAACACTGCTTCACACGAAACCAAAGCAACACGAAGCGCTTATTCACATATTCGTGTTTCAAGTCACTCACTCCTTTCTCTTCTTCACCTGCCACCGGTTGTGATGGACGGCAGCTCGTAAAACGAAGAGCTGCCAAATCCTGGTGAATACCGAGTGCAACATCTGTTTTCATACAGACAGTCTGTTGAATTCGTCCATTAAAAACACTCCTCTGGCACCGTTTTGTGTTCACAGATTAGTGCTGAGGCTTATGTGTGTGGGGGGGAAAAATATGCTAATTTAATTTAAATCAACATATGTTTGCTTTTAAATGTCATTTGTCAGATTTCAGCCGAAGCAGGTGAAGAAGTGAGAAGATTGGTTCAGAGATAGTGAGGAATATAGCTCCGCCGGCTCCAAAAGTGAGCGTAATTACACAGCAACCGATTTTATTATAGCTAAAATATGACACGAAAAGGGCAGCTGGGAAGAGTTTAATCTATGTTAGCATCTAAAAAAAAAAATGACTTCATGTTGGATTGCTGTCTAGTTACAGTTCAGTTAGTGGAGCAGAAGAGAGGGAGCTGTACAGTAAATAAAGAGGAATGAAAATACGATAGGTCCAGATCACTTAAGCTGCATTCAGAGGAATGAGTACGCGTTATGGTTGAGTGATTCACTTCTCCCATTCATCCATCCATTCATTCATTCATTCATCCAGCTGTCAGCGCTTCTTCTTGATTAAATGGACGCCTTGACACCACGGAAAAGAAAGCAAATTAAACATTTTCATCACCAGAATCTGGAATAAAGTTACTCTGTTGTGTGATAACTGGTGAAACTTGAGTCATAAATGCTAAAAACCTCTCCAGAGAAATAAAAAAAAAAATGTCAAGGCCTTCATTTAAGACGGGAACATCAAGGTGGAAGCGACAGTGTTTCCCCTCCTCAGACAAAGTAGTCTTGTTGCGATGCTACTGTGAATTCACCTTCGGATAAAGAACATAACTCTCACGCCCAGCTCGTCGAGAAATTCTTAATTTCTATCGAGCAGGGCTCAGTGTTCCAGAAAAGTCATAAATATGGGATCTTCCAGTTTGTTGACTGCCTTAAGCTGTGCTAATGTTTACATGAACAACGTAGGGAAACACTGCATCTTTCCACCGGCTTCTTTTTTTCACTCAAAGCCACAAAGAGTCTCTTTTTAAAAATGTCTTCCTTGCAACCAGTCCCTTCCTTCATCGCTCCGTTTATCCACTCCTCTCACAAACAGGTAGTGTTCTTTGTCTAGCAGGACTCTCAGCTGCATGTTTTATCCTTCATGTCACTTTTTCTTCCATCTTCTCTGCAAAAAAAGGACAAATCTGTCTGCCCCTTTCCCCTCCCCCCATCGCTGGAAGACTCGACTCAGAACAGCACGTCTTCGTTGGTGATGAGCGTCTCCACCACCAGTCTCTGGTATCGGATGTCGTTCAGCGCCGTCATGGCGTCCAGCTCAGGGGCCCTCATCAGCGTCGGGCCGAAGACGATGCCCAGGTTCTCGCTGGACATGAGGTTCTCCTTCTCGTACTGGGTCACTCTGGGTGGAGAGCGAGGGAAACGTATGTGTGTTGTTAACAAAACACAGAGGAATCAAACAGCTAAGAAGTAAAGTGAAATCACAGCTTATGTGTTTGGGGTAAAAAATAATGATTATTTCCCCTGTCAATTAATTTGTTGATTATTTTTCTCTATATTAAATCAACCAGAAGGTCACCCTCTCAGACTCCTCTGAAAAAAATTCAAAGGCCCTCCTATGAGAAAATTATGGAGAAATCCCGAAGCGTTTTGGCAAACTAGCCATCATCCGACATTAGTAACTCGTACAGTGTGGCACATGGAGCTTTGAAACTGCTCGTCTTGGGCTAACTTTTCCTGAAGAATCCCAAAATGTCATCAGATCTGCTGTGTTGTCTTTATTCGTCCTCTAAAAATGGCCAAACATTCAGTTCAAGGAGGATTAACAACACAACCATATTGGGGTCATGTTGTCTTCAGATCTATAGGAACACATGGTGAAAATGTGAAAATGATGGTGAACTGCCCACATGGTTTAATCAGGGCATGGAAATGGGAAAATTCATGAAATTAAAAATGTATTCTTTATCTCCCATCGTACTAATGTTCATGGTTGCTGCATAAACACGGTCTAACATCTCATAAATGATAGGAAAACAATTCTGAGTGCTTCATCTGTCATACTTTTCAAATTAGGGATGGTAACTGAGGGTGTCTTTTTTTTAACAACTGAACTAAAATTTCAAAGGAATGTAAAAACAAAACCAGAACAAAAGGAGACCTAACATTTGGGATTTGTTTGCTATAGGAGCACCTGTGATTATTTGCAGTGGAATCTGAGAGGGTGACCTGGAAAAAAGTTCTCAGAAATTGGTTGATCTCATACGGAATGACCCAATTTGATTGTTTTTTTGATCTGTAAAATTTTGCCTTCTTTCTTCTTCTTTTTATCCGACTGTGTGTTCGTACCTCTTGAGGTGAGCCATGAGGTATCGCATCGTCTCACAGTGAGCCGGCGGCAGCAGCTTCAAGGCCTCGTGGAGGGACTCCAGTCGTTTCTCTGGGTCTGTAATCTCTGCAACGCACATTAAATATTAAACATGGATGTGTTTCAGGAGCGCTGATCACAGGTCACCCGTGAGCAACACGTGGTATGAAGAAAAATGTAGTGTAATCATGTAGGAGGAGCTTTAAGACGTACTTCCAGTTTCTATGAAGCGGGGGTAGGCGTCGTATGTGATGAGGGGAATGGGCAGCTCTCTGAAGTAGAGCTTGAGGGCTCCGGTGATGATGTTGATGTCCTCGTAAGCGTTGGAGGAAATATCGGCTTTTTCTCCGTCTGTGGAGGAAATCAGTCGACAGAATTCAACCAAAGGGCTCAGTTTGGTGGTGATTTCACCACTAACAACAGGAGGAGAAATCTGGTCTGGTTAGTCTGTGTCAGTTTTTAAAATATCAGCAAAACTGCACCATTTTTACAAACTATAAAAACTTCCTGACTGTCCTTAAACGAATCATGTGCTACTCTCTGTGTTGGAGGAGAAAACAGCTAAATATAAGATAGAAATGGTTAATAGATTATTTTAAAAATGCCAAAAACGAACCATTTGCTCCGTTGAGATTCTGTAAAAAACTAAAAATTCTTCACTTTTTTGTGCAACATAGAAGCTTTTAGTGACTCAGCTGGAGAAAAGTATGGAAACGAATTAAAAATGGAAGCAGTTTTTATGATTTATGGCATTTTTGCTATACTTCACAGAAGACATTTTTAAATTCTGTCTACTTCTAGCCATGGTTGTGCTGTTTGCACTTTGAAAAATCATCCCACAAATCATCCCAAGAAAAATGCATGTTTCAAGTCAGACAATAAGCCACGGATAATAAAACTAAGCGCTAAAATTTCACAACCCATGCTGACCACATGTCTCCAACTGTGTCCTCATCTGGACTCATTTAGCCTTCAGCTTTTTTTTCTTTTGTAAAGTATTATTAGTGTCACATCAAGCTGCTGCAGTGTGTGATGTGCCATTATGTTCAAATCTTGTAGTGTTTTCATGTCTGAGATTACACAGAAAAATATCTGCGAAGTCTCTCCTTATGTGCGAGATTGTGATGCTGGCGAAATGAAAACAATCCTGAGCGTGTTTTCGGCAACGAGAAGTTGTTTTCGGAACAACAGGGGGCGACACTCACCTCTGTCAAAGGCCAGCTTGACATCTTCGATCAGCTCACTGAAGCCTGATATTCTGTACAATCCCTCCGACTGAAGACCTGCAGGGGCCAAATCAGGCAACCATTAATGTGACAAATTAGATAAGTGGGTGTTTTTTTTTCAATTCTTGATCATTTAGGAATCATTTATGACATTTTTATAACACGAGAAATCACTTTTTTGAGCTTCTCAAGCGGGAATATTTGCTATTTTTTAATGGCTGTATCTACATGTTTCCATCGTCAATTATTATGTTGACTATTTTCTAGATTAATAAGTGTCAGAAACTAGTAATATGTCAATCAGTGGTTCCCGAAGCTTCAGTTTGTTGTCATAGAAGAGTAAAGAAACCAGAAAATGTCCACATTTATTAAGCTGGAATCAGAGACTTTTTTTTCTTCTTGACAAATTACTCAGACTGATTAATTGCAGAGACGAATCGATGTGTTTCTTTCCTGTTGTGCCGACGGAGAACCAGAAATAGTTCGGCTCGCACAGAAGGCGGAGACGGTGAAGATTGATTAGAGGGACGACTTCAGCCTGGCTCCGGCTCTCCAGTCAAGTTCAATCACTTCAAGTCAGGTGTCTCTATTGATTTCTCGTATTAGTTTCACTCACGTCTTGAATCATAGTCAATAAAACCCTGTCTGGCAGCTCCCCCTGTGACCGCTCAGGCCCTCTGGGAGAAAATGTCACCCTGTCATTCACCACATAAATCCACATGTGGGATTCAATCTGCTGGTTTTTTTTTTACCAATGAGAGGGTGGGCTGACACACAGCCTCGTGGGTGTTCTCTCTCTTTCCCGTCTCTCTCGCAGCAAACAATACTTAAAAGCTTTTTCTTTTTTTACGTCAGCATTATATAATCGCTGACTCACTCCCGCACACATCTTCCCTCCCGTCTCACCTCGAGCCTCGATTTCCTGAATGCACATGTCGACCACCATGGGCCTCTTGGTGTTGTGGGCTTTCACCAGCGTGGTCAGGTCGCAGCTGTACACCTTCTTGACGTGCCGCAGGTCCGGCTGGCAGTCGTTGGGCACGACTTTGGAGCACTGCTTGTGGACGTTCAAGCCGCAATCTGACGAGACACGAACACAGATTCCACTTTATTCCAGCTTGAAGATGACTCTTCTGTTGTTTTTGTTGCATAAATGACCCATTAACACCACAGTGCGATGTGATTTCCCCCCACACACACACAGGACCAGACAGGATGGTAAAAGTTAAACGTAGGCGTTCCAGTGACACAGTTCGTCACCCACACGCAGTCATCATCGCACTGACAGCCTGTTCTTTGGCACAGAACCGAATCTCTTAACATTTAAAAACCCAATCAGCGGATGAGTCAACAGCAAAAGTGACTAACTTTGTCCCGCTTTCGAGTCACGGTTCAAGAGGAGAAACCTGAACGCTGAACCACGACTTACCTGCACACTTCACTCCCTGAGCGATGAGACCCCACATGAAGTTGGCACAGTACTCGCACCAGTGGGGGCCCCTGAACGTATGAACCTGAAACACAGGAAAAAGGCGGATTTCGTGTTAAAATGTCGTAATATAAATTCACCACAGGATTCGCAGTAAACATCAGATGTGCTCGGCCAAAGTTATGCATTAAAATAATTGGTTATATGCTAACAAGAAAAGGTGAGAAAATTATTCACAGATTGGGAATCCAGGCACTAATCTTTATTATAAACTGACAGCCGCTGACAAAAGAGTGACGGAGACACAATGGGAGTGCTGAAAGGGTACTTGGAGAAGAATTACAGCGAGAATCTGCTCATTTATAGGACAAATTGGCTCCGTATAATGAGATGCTAATAACCTGTGCTCTTTTGTGTGTCGTGGTTCTGACCTTAGTGCTCTTCACTTGTGTTTCAATCTGTGGATGTAAGGCGCTAAACAAAGGCTGAAAATGTAAACGCAGCACTGTTTCCTACCACTCTCTGAATTTGAATAAGTCCCCGTGAGCTGAATCAGCGTTCCTGGCAGCACACACACAAACAGGATGGCTGGAAAGCGAAGGAGCTTCTCACCTTGAAGTTGTGGACCTTCTCGTACTTGGGCGCCAAGTCGCTCTCCCTCAGGGTGGCCCGCCGCACCAGCGACGTCAGCTGCGAAAGGGCAAAAGATCTGATTGGTTGCCAGAAGGTGGAGGCAGGGGAGGTGGGTTTGGAGGGAGCCCGGCTCAGGGGGGCTCCGGCGCCGGAGTCCGAGGCGCCGCCGGAGACCGGCAGGGAGGGAATCGAACCGTTCAAGCCGAGAGCGGCGTTGAACAAAGAGCCCTTCTGACCCGTTTGCTTCTCTGCTCTCCTGCGAGGCTTTTTGCCTCTTTTGACGACGTACGACTCTCGGCTCGGCATCGTTGAATCTATGAATTGATTTTACTCACAAAAAAAATCTCACTAATAGACAAACGGAGTCACTCGAAAAAGGAGACACTCTGAGAAAAAAACGGCACAACAACTACATCTCAAATCTGACAACAACATCCCAAACCGAGGAGGCAGCACGGGACCAATCCTAGTACCACAAAGATCAGCCAATCAGATTAACGCTGCATACTGATGGGGCTGCGCGGTGCAATTCCAGTTCATAACAACAAAACAAAAGCCAGCCAATATTAAAAAATCTGTCCCCAGATGGACGACCCGAATGAAAATAACTCAATAAATCTTCACTTCTCGGCCGTGTTTTGTAAAATCCTCCACCGGCGGCGGCTGAATTCCTGCGTTTCCCGTCTCGTGTAGGTGAGCGCTTCAGCCCACATGGCTCAGTGCGTGTTAATCCTCTTTCCCCATCATCTACACACTCGGCAGGCAGCGGCGGAGGAGGAGGAGGGAGGCGGAGAGAGCCGGCAGAGGAGGAGGAGGAGGAGGGAGCTACGGTGCAGTAATGGATGAATTTAACAGGTCGCGATGAGAGGAGAAGCAGCCAATCAGAGCGCAGCGACTCCTGTTGTTTGTCACCAATTCTGCCACCTCAATTATCCCAGGAGAGGAGGAAGAGAACGAGCCGAGAAACAAGCTGTTGTTTCGTTCCCACTTTCTGCCCCCTCTTTGTTCCCTCCGTTTTGTTTTCACCTGCAGCATCTATCTGTTTTCCATCTGATGCAAGCGCTCCTAAAACTGTGTCCTTAGATGGCTCCCAAATCAAAAAGCCATCCATTATCTCAGATCACACAAGTTACATAAGAGCTTTTTTTTTTAACTTCAGAAGTGCACTTTAGAAGACGTCAGCGGTTTAAGTGCCGCCTCTGGTGGGTTGGATGGACGGATGTTTGGGTTTTTTTGACATTTATTTGGCTAATTTTTGGGCGAAAATCCTGTCTTTTTTAGATCTTTACACAAAAATAAGGTGCTAAAAAGCAACCGCACATCCAACACAGTGACGGATCGTGGATATTTAATGACGCTAGACAAAAGAGCATTTTGATTACAGAAAAAAAAGACAAAAAAACAACAGAAACCGGGACAAACAGCTGGTTAAGAGGCTCATACTGATGGAGGATGTTATCCGTGCTGCCAGATCACTTCTTCTATTTTTTTTTCTTCTGTGCGGATCAAAGGTGAATTAAATCTCCTCTCTCGTCACCATCCAGCGGATTCAATCTCACGAGGAGGCCTTAAAAATGCATTTTTAAAAAGTCATCTCCAGAACCGAGCCGCTATCGCCCTCGCGGGGGCCGTAAAGCCGCGTTTAACCCCTAATAAAAGGAGATTAGCTGTATGGACGTGTGAAATATGAATTCCTCCCGTGTTTGTCTTCCCCACAGAGAGCGAGCCCCGGTCTCAATGTCACAGACGTACTGCTTTGTCTGCAAATCCACCCGATTGGGAAAGCGCGCACGTATACAGGACCACCCCCACAACACACACACTCACACACACACACACACACACACATAGACAGTGATGTATGAGGTGCAGTGTAGGTGGTCATGCACTGCAGGTCATACAAGGCCTCGGGAGGCTGTTGCAGCAGCTAAACGCTTCGTACACACTACTACTGCTGTTGCTCGTGTTTGTGCGTCGGAGGGTTTTGCAGCCCCTTTCCATGCAGCCCACATGCACAAAGCTGCACATTCACATGTAGCAGTGATTAGCATCGACGTTAGCACGCACACAAAGCCTCACATCTCTTATTGTTTTTGTCACTTTCATCCTCCTAAAAGCTCCACCTATAGGTTAAAAAAGAAAAAAAAAAGTTTCCGAGGAGTAAAACTCTAATCACTTCACAGCTGAATGAAAATTAACGAGCCGACAACAAACCCGACGCCTGAATACTTAGTAGGCGGCTTTTGGGAGATAGCAGCTTTCTGCAGGCAAACCGCTGTTATGTAATTTTACTGCAGAGCCCTTGGCTGGAGGCCATCTATCCTCTGCATCCATCCTCCTCCTCCTTCTTCTTCTTCACCTTCTTTCTCACAGTGTTCCTCATCCTTCCATCCTGCTGCTGCTGCTGCATATACAGCAACTTCCCTCACCTTTGTCCTTATTTGAATTCTTTACAGAGTTTCTAAACACTTCATCCTCCAAACGCAGCCTTCGCAAGACAGATTCGATACTTTTCTCTATATTCTGGAAACGCTGTGATGCTAACATCTTATGATTTACGTAACTTTTGTTCGTTCCAGTTTAGTTCAGTGACAGATAGAAATTGATTGCTACAGTTATTCTGCCTGCAGCACAAATCCACTCACTGCTGTCCTCAGTTGAACTCAAACTGAAATGCGTTTCTTACTTCAGTCGTCTACATTCAGACTTGAATTCATCCTAAAAACCATCTGAGAGATACTTCACATTTCCTGCAGTCAATCTGTGCTCTTTAACAAATCTCATTTTGACATTATGAGCGTTTTATCCCTCACTGTTCAGCAGCCCTTCACTAAAGGCATAAAGATGAAACTATATGAATTCGTCTTATAACTCTAAGAACTCATTTTATTCCTAAAGGGAAATTTCTTCCGTTTGCAGCCAGTGCTCTTTGCCAACAGCTCCATTTCTTATTCAAACCAACCTTTCAACCCCTCCCCCAATGCCTTCAGGTCGGTTTGCCAGAAAGTTATACTAATTGGAGGATACGTTTGGCCTGAGTGCCAACATAGAGTCCAATTTAAACATCCATATGTCTTCTAGGGAGCGATGAGATCTAAAAATATGAAGTGATATCCACTATTATGAGCTTCTCAACCTAATCCCATATCACTTCCCGAGCTGGTCATTCCTCCTCATCATGAGATACTCAGTGAAATATAATGTGATTTTAGTAGTATGAGCCTGTGTTGTTATATTACATCGCTTGTCCTCACCCTCTCCTCCGTGTTGCAGTCGTCTTTGGCGGGGGCCGGCCCGTCAGGTGCCTCGGGGCTGTGCGGCAGGTGTTTCTTCAGGGTGGGCTCCTGGTTCAGGGTGGTGTAGCCCACGTGCTCGTAGATGGGGTTGATGGTCATCTTTGCGATGTACTCCGCTGCCTGACAAGAGGACAGAGATGTAAATACGCCAGCTCAAGAGTTTTTCTGTAAACTCTCTGGACTCCGAGCAGTTTCTGCTCCTGTCACAGTTTCACTCCCTGTGGGCTCCTTTTGTTTTTACTGCAATATAAAGTCCTGCGCCTCGATATAAAAAGCACAACCACGGCTAGAAGAAACTCAAAAAATGTCTCCTGTGCAGGATAACACAGTCTAGAATTACATAAATTATACTATAAGAAATGACTTTCCTTGATTATTCAATTTGCAAATTTGTTTTAAAAAGTGTTACCAATACAGCAAAATTAGTATCTCTACTTACTATAGATATTTAACTACTTACATTTTTAATTTGTTTCCATTCTTGCCTCCTACCTGCTTTGTATAAACTTTTCTAATACTCTATTTTATTGTAAATTATAACATTTTTTGCCCCTTTTTTGTAAAGATCAGCCTTTTTGCCACCTTATTTCTATTTTCTTTTTCTTCGACCAACATGATTTGCACATTAATTGCACATTCTTTTGTGCATTGCTTCCTTATCTATCTTGAATGTAACACGTGTGACCTCCTGCATACCTTGACTTTCCCCAAGCGGATGAATAAAGTATCTATCTCAACTAGGGATGACCGATATTAGCTTTTTTGCCAGTATCAAATATGCCGATATTGTCCAACTCTCAATTTCCGATATCAACTGATATATGTGGGCCATTTAAGCAATTTTAGGCAACATCACATATCTCCTGTCGTGGAATTAACACATCATGTAAATGTCGGTGAAATCCAGGCATTATTTTATGCCAATATCGGTGGGCCGATATTATGGGACATCCCTAATCTAAACACAGCCTGCAGTTCAGCTGAAGACCCCCAGATGTGGAGCACACAGAAAAAACAAAAAACACCTCACATGCACAAGACAACAAAAAAATGATAGTGTTTGCACAAAACAGCTGGTGCAAACATCACATTTTTGGCAAATTTATAAACAAAACATGTAGAAGTTTAATGAACTAGCTTACAAATGTTTTGTGTTTTTCTGACAACTCATGATTAAAAACAATTCTTCCTGCTTTTACAGTTTCTGGATCATAAATGGTGCATTTTTGGCTATTTTAAAAATATAACACACCTTACAAACCCTCTGGTGGGTTTTAGGGTTTGGAGAGTTGAGACATTTCTAGGTTTAGATCATTTATGACGATTGCAGCGCTTCTGTGTCCCCTGATAGTGATTTTTTTCTGCCTATGAAACCACATCTGACCCAGTTGGACCTTGATTAAAACTTGGGTCATTCAATGTCGAACCAGTTGGTGCTGCCAGGTCATGTCATGGATTTTCCTGAGGGTTCATGGGATCTTCTGAAACTTTCTTTTCCAACAATGGGAAGAAAATGTGACACTGAGAGATAGGGGAGATGAGAAGACACACCTTGGTCTCGATGTAGAGCGTGATGAGGCCGTCTGTGACCAGGTCGTGGATGGACTCGAACCTCTTCTCTCCGACAAAGTGCTTCCCGTCATGGTAGAGGCGGAAGTTTCTCGTCTGGTTCCCAAACCTGGGAAAAATACACAAAGATGGGTAAATCAATCCTGGATTAATCCGATATCACAATGTTGATTTCTAAATTAGCTTTAGCATCGTTTAGCGGTACGCAGTAAGAGCCAAAAACCTTTACAAATTGATTTGCCACACACATAGTATAGAATAAAACCGCACTTTGACTCGTATATCACGTCCAAAGAATGTGAAAAAAAAACAAATGCATCAAAAAATCTCGACCTATGTTCAAATCCACCCATATGTTCTATTATTTCCCACTTTTTCTGTCCACAAGAACAGCAAAGACCGAAACCAAAATGGCACAAACTACGAGACAGAGCCGTGATGGACAGACTCCGAACTGGGCCAACACATTATCAGCTCCTCGGTGGATCACGACGAAACCACCGCAAGATAAAACAGCACCATTAGATCATTAACCCAAAATCCAACCTTTCCTTTTCTGCCACCCAGACTGGGACTCTAGTTTATGAGGGGGTATTTATGGAAGGTAATTAGAACCACGGGGATCGGAGAGGCAGTGGAGTGGAGGGAAAGCTGTGCAGGTGGAAGAATGACACAGCTATGAATAGACTGAACTGACCCAAAACCAAATTCAAATTAAGCCGTGCACCCATTTCAAAAGTGTGACACCTACTCAGAGCAAACGCTCGAATCAAAGTGACGGGGAGATAAATAAACGTGGCCGACATGGTAGAAAGTTAAAGCAACAGTGCTTGGAAACAAATTCTCAACCCGTCCGTCTCCTCACGAGGAGCGGCTTTGTCCACGTGAGTTCAGAGATGAGCTTCTTTGAGCTGCTTAAAGTTTGACTGCTGCCTTTACCGGGGAGATAAACCCTCACACCTCACAGCACCTTCACACTCAACTCACCTCATGCAGCAGCACAAACTCGCTTTTACTTATTCTGTCGCACAAATACCCAACAGAGGAGTGAAGAGGTCAAGCATCCGAGAACAAAAAGTGCTGATAACATTTAAAGCAATAGCAGGTACAAACTTCACAAACTCATTTTCTCTAACTTATATTTATCGATCTTGATATTTCAGACTGTATTTGGAGCTGATTTTCTACTTGTAGTGGTTAGTTAAGTGGCACCACTGAGCTCACGTTTGTTTCCCTAACTGAGCCCAACGCTACCTTAGAGCCAGAGTGTAGGTGCCCGGCTGTCTCTGGCTCTCTCTGATGAGGTAGCTGCCTTCGGCCTGACTCAGTAGCTGGTCGGCATCTTCTCGTGAGATCATCCCGTGGTACCTGGACGGAAGAGAAGCAACATGACACTGAATTCAATGGCAAAAAAAGTCCAATCAACCCCTCAGAACCTAAAAGATTTTGAACTTTCCGTGAGTCATTGAAACACTCATCAGTGACTTGGCGTAAATGATCTAAACCTATCAGTGTCTTAACCCTCTGAAGCCACCAGCGGGGTTTAAAAAGTGTGATATATTTTTAAAATAGCCAAAATTGCGCCCCTTATCTGAGCTAGAAACTGTAAAAACAGGAAAAATCGTCAGATTTTAATCGATTCGTTGGGAAAAACAACTAAATTAAGCTGAAAATCGCTTCATTCTGCTGATCTCAAAAATTTGCTTGAACTACTTGAATGCAAAAACAACAACAACAACAAAAAACCCTGAAGTCATGATCTCATCGTGACAAAAATTCAGGGGCTCGCTTGAACTGCAAGCTGTGTTTTTGGAGAGCTGAAAGTAAATATCTGTATCCTGTAGAGACATTTTTTTTTCCAGTTTTGCTATGATCTGGGCCCTTACAAAGATATTTTACATGCTAATTTGAGGTTTTTTAATCCATGTCAAAAAAATAATCACAGAAACTCAACTTTATCTTGTTTTATAACTTTGTCAAACTGCACAGAATACATCTCTTGGTTCTCTCTCCTTCTAGTCATGGTTGTTCTGTTTCCAAAGAGGTGCAGGACTTTGCAGTGAAGAAGTAAATAAACTGGTTGGAGGTTCAGAGGGTTAAATGTCTTAAATGTCAGTGGAGACGGATTCAAAAGCATCCTCACTGTTTGAAATGCAACACGTCTCAGATGAAGACAACTTACTCTCTGCCGTAGTATTTAGGTCGGTTGTCCACCTGCAGGGAGAGAGAAAATAAACGACATCAAACCAGGAGGAAGAACGACACTGAATTGTCGTTTTGTGCAGAATCATTAAAAAGATCGTTCAGTGTTGACTCTGACGGCACCAATTGAACAGAAACATGGCCGAACGGTTCATTTTTTTCATGTCAAACTATTTATAACTCTTGATATTTTGAGAGTGAACCCTGGTTTTTATTGAATTTACAGCCTTCTTAACCGATCTACTTCTGCTAGCTCTAACATTCTGCAAAAATAAATAACCAACATTGTGATTATTTTAGCGGGAATGGTCTGTTTTTCCCCTTGTTTCCGATGCTGATGTGACTTTTGCTACCGTCTGCACCAAACAGGCATGTTCCTTTACGTCTGGAGAACATGGTTTGCAGGCCAAGGTGTCTCCACACGCAGCTAACGTGATTTGGATCATATTTTGATTAATTGCTCAGCGCTACTATAATATCTGACAGTCTCAGGAGCCGGTGAGTTAATAACTTGGAATTACAGACGCACGATATTGGATTTATCTAACATGCTCGTATTCTCCATCTTGTTTTGGCCGATTTCAACATACGCACATCATTTTTCCACTTAATTGCACAGAACACACGGCCTCTCCTGTTGATTTGACAAATGATTATGCTTAATCTTATAGTAATTTCCCACTGGCGGGTGCAGATGTAACATCCGATTTCTAAATGAACTTAAATGTAAAATGATTTTTATGTAACAACCGCAAAGTTTGAAGCCTAAACCAGCCAACTCTGGTGATTATTCCAGCATCATCACGCATCAACTATTCAAACTTGACTCATGCGTCCCTGCACACTGAGTCAGAGCTCGACTAAACTGAGAAACCACCACATCGTGATCCAGCTCAGCTCGTCGACCCAAAACACTTGCTCAACAACAGGGCTCTCAGAAGAATGTGTGTGTGTGTGTTTCAATGCTGCAGCGCCACACGACAGCATCTTGTGTGCGTCCTCAAACGGCCCTGAGACGACACAAACTGTTTGCTCTTGCTCAACGTGTCCCCAGAATTTGACACATTTCGGGATGGCGAGGGCTCCCGGCGAGAGAGCGTGAGGGGGCGCCGGGATTATTGCATGAGTCAGTTAAAAAAGCCGAACGTTGTGTTCTCAGCAAAACTGCTGCCGAGCCAATAAATCAACAAGCAGCGGTGAATATTAATTTGGATGCACCGTGTGTGTGTTAGGAAGTGACAAAGACAAAAGCTTACACACTGAAAACACAATAATACGCACACGGGGGACCACGAGGATACGATTTTCAGCTTTTAAACGTCAATATGAGAGAACAATCTAGTGCAACACGGGAGGCAGGAGCATCAGCTAAACACCTGCCATGTGATAACATGTGGTCGAGTTAGCCGTGAGCCATCCACCTCTGGACCAGAACCGCTCCGAGGCCTGTCAGGAAGCCAGGCACGCGGCGGACACGCTAACAACCATTACTAATGCTCAATGGACATCCTCGACTGCACATTACAGAGTGCTGGGGCCGCAGGGACGCAACCGTCTGAAACAAAAACACATTTCCAGTCCCTGCCGTCGGTGTCCTTTGGATGAAATGATGAAATAAAGTGGTGCCGAGTGAAACGGGATATTTGTCAGAGCCTGGAAGCAAACATGTGAAGCATTTATCGAAGGGGATTATCTCCAATTTTGGTGCATAAATCAGGCGAATACGAGCGCGTTCGGTTTTAAAACATCTCATATTAGACACCTGTAGCGAGCACAGTCAGCTTCTTTGTACCTGCTGCTTTGTCAGATGATCAAAAATCAGAAGCGCTCGCCACTGTGTGTTAAAGACGTCGCTGTGGGAGGCAAACGGGCTCACAAGACAGAAGCTACTGTAGGAGGACTACACCTGCCAAACGAAATAAATGAGACTCTGGGAACTTGTCAGAACATGGAAGCGACTTTAGCAGCTTGAGGAGGAGATGTCAGCATGAAATCCTGAAAGCCGTTTAGCTCTTGACACCCAGACGATGGACACAGAGATCTGTGGTTCGCCAACTACTTCCTAAAAATAACGCAAACTTTAAAAGAAATCCTGAGATTTCCCTGTTTATTTACGCATTTTGTGAGAATATAATTTAAAATTCTTGCAATTTTGCAGAGCTCAAGGTGGAGTTGTGCTTGTTCGATGCTGTTAACCTTTAAAACCTTCACGTTTTTTAGATGCACTATACTGATAAATTAACGAATATTTGGTCATTACCACCAGGGTTGATGTTGATTAAAGACACTTACTTGGTGAACCCAAAGATATCCAGGTACAACGACTCAACAAATATGAAAACAGCAATTTTACAAGGCGGAATAAGTAAATTTTGGCATTTCTCCTAAAAAAAAATATTTAAAATTCATTTCTTGTTGTTGACAAAATGCCTGAAAAGTCATCTCTGTGTATTAAAGTTTGCTATTTAGGGGCTTTTTTTCCAATAAAAAAATTCCTGACATAAAAACCTTTAAAATAACGCCAAATATCTGCTAAATAATTTTTTGTGTTCTAAAAAACACAGGACTTTTATGGTCACAGAACTATTTAGAAATATAGATTTCTAACATGATGCTCAAGTTTGTTTTTTACAGTCAACATGTAAATCAATGATTTTTAAAATTCTTAATATACTTTTTTTTAAAACAGCAGCAACTATCTAAAAAAAATTATATTTTCTGCTTTGCGTTGTATTTAAATACAACTAAAAAAAAGTGCAACGTCACTGTTAAACATTGTAAAATAATGAATTAGCATTTATAAAATATTCAGATTTTTGATGTAGATATTTACAGTTTGGGACTTTTTATGGTTAACATGTAAATGAATGTCTGNCTGCTTTTACAGTTTCTGGATCATAAATGGTGCATTTTTGGCTATTTTAAAAATATAACACACCTTACAAACCCTCTGGTGGGTTTTAGGGTTTGGAGAGTTGAGACATTTCTAGGTTTAGATCATTTATGACGATTGCAGCGCTTCTGTGTCCCCTGATAGTGATTTTTTTCTGCCTATGAAACCACATCTGACCCAGTTGGACCTTGATTAAAACTTGGGTCATTCAATGTCGAACCAGTTGGTGCTGCCAGGTCATGTCATGGATTTTCCTGAGGGTTCATGGGATCTTTGAAAATTCTGAAAAAGTGACACTGAGAGACAGGGGAGATGAGAAGACACACCTTGGTCTCGATGTAGAGCGTGATGAGGCCGTCTGTGACCAGGTCGTGGATGGACTCGAACCTCTTCTCTCCGACAAAGTGCTTCCCGTCATGGTAGAGGCGGAAGTTTCTCGTCTGGTTCCCAAACCTGGGAAAAATACACAAAGATGGGTAAATCAATCCTGGATTAATCCGATATCACAATGTTGATTTCTAAATTAGCTTTAGCATCGTTTAGCGGTACGCAGTAAGAGCCAAAAACCTTTACAAATTGATTTGCCACACACACAGCATAGAATAAAACCGCACTTTGACTCGTATATCACGTCCAAAGAATGTGAAAAAAAAACAAATGCATCAAAAAATCTCGACCTATGTTCAAATCCACCCATATGTTCTATTATTTCCCACTTTTTCTGTCCACAAGAACAGCAAAGACCGAAACCAAAATGGCACAAACTACGAGACAGAGCCGTGATGGACAGACTCCGAACTGGGCCAACACATTATCAGCTCCTCGGTGGATCACGACGAAACCACCGCAAGATAAAACAGCACCATTAGATCATTAACCCAAAATCCAACCTTTCCTTTTCTGCCACCCAGACTGGGACTCTAGTTTATGAGGGGGGTATTTATGGAAGGTAATTAGAACCACGGGGATCGGAGAGGCAGTGGAGTGGAGGGAAAGCTGTGCAGGTGGAAGAATGACACAGCTATGAATAGACTGAACTGACCCAAAACCAAATTCAAATTAAGCCGTGCACCCATTTCAAAAGTGTGACACCTACTCAGAGCAAACGCTCGAATCAAAGTGACGGGGAGATAAATAAACGTGGCCGACATGGCGAGTGCTGAGAAAACTGATAGAAAGTTAAAGCAACAGTGCTTGGAAACAAATTCTCAACCCGTCCGTCTCCTCACGAGGAGCGGCTTTGTCCACGTGAGTTCAGAGATGAGCTTCTTTGAGCTGCTTAAAGTTTGACTGCTGCCTTTACCGGGGAGATAAACCCTCACACCTCACAGCACCTTCACACTCAACTCACCTCATGCAGCAGCACAAACTCGCTTTTACTTATTCTGTCGCACAAATACCCAACAGAGGAGTGAAGAGGTCAAGCATCCGAGAACAAAAAGTGCTGATAACATTTAAAGCAATAGCAGGTACAAACTTCACAAACTCATTTTCTCTAACTTATATTTATCGATCTTGATATTTCAGACTGTATTTGGAGCTGATTTTCTACTTGTAGTGGTTAGTTAAGTGGCACCACTGAGCTCACGTTTGTTTCCCTAACTGAGCCCAACGCTACCTTAGAGCCAGAGTGTAGGTGCCCGGCTGTCTCTGGCTCTCTCTGATGAGGTAGCTGCCTTCGGCCTGACTCAGTAGCTGGTCGGCATCTTCTCGTGAGATCATCCCGTGGTACCTGGACGGAAGAGAAGCAACATGACACTGAATTCAATGGCAAAAAAAGTCCAATCAACCCCTCAGAACCTAAAAGATTTTGAACTTTCCGTGAGTCATTGAAACACTCATCAGTGACTTGGCGTAAATGATCTAAACCTATCAGTGTCTTAACCCTCTGAAGCCACCAGCGGGGTTTAAAAAGTGTGATATATTTTTAAAATAGCCAAAATTGCGCCCCTTATCTGAGCTAGAAACTGTAAAAACAGGAAAAATCGTCAGATTTTAATCGATTCGTTGGGAAAAACAACTAAATTAAGCTGAAAATCGCTTCATTCTGCTGATCTCAAAAATTTGCTTGAACTACTTGAATGCAAAAACAACAACAACAACAAAAAACCCTGAAGTCATGATCTCATCGTGACAAAAATTCAGGGGCTCGCTTGAACTGCAAGCTGTGTTTTTGGAGAGCTGAAAGTAAATATCTGTATCCTGTAGAGACATTTTTTTTTCCAGTTTTGCTATGATCTGGGCCCTTACAAAGATATTTTACATGCTAATTTGAGGTTTTTTAATCCATGTCAAAAAAATAATCACAGAAACTCAACTTTATCTTGTTTTATAACTTTGTCAAACTGCACAGAATACATCTCTTGGTTCTCTCTCCTTCTAGTCATGGTTGTTCTGTTTCCAAAGAGGTGCAGGACTTTGCAGTGAAGAAGTAAATAAACTGGTTGGAGGTTCAGAGGGTTAAATGTCTTAAATGTCAGTGGAGACGGATTCAAAAGCATCCTCACTGTTTGAAATGCAACACGTCTCAGATGAAGACAACTTACTCTCTGCCGTAGTATTTAGGTCGGTTGTCCACCTGCAGGGAGAGAGAAAATAAACGACATCAAACCAGGAGGAAGAACGACACTGAATTGTCGTTTTGTGCAGAATCATTAAAAAGATCGTTCAGTGTTGACTCTGACGGCACCAATTGAACAGAAACATGGCCGAACGGTTCATTTTTTTCATGTCAAACTATTTATAACTCTTGATATTTTGAGAGTGAACCCTGGTTTTTATTGAATTTACAGCCTTCTTAACCGATCTACTTCTGCTAGCTCTAACATTCTGCAAAAATAAATAACCAACATTGTGATTATTTTAGCGGGAATGGTCTGTTTTTCCCCTTGTTTCCGATGCTGATGTGACTTTTGCTACCGTCTGCACCAAACAGGCATGTTCCTTTACGTCTGGAGAACATGGTTTGCAGGCCAAGGTGTCTCCACACGCAGCTAACGTGATTTGGATCATATTTTGATTAATTGCTCAGCGCTACTATAATATCTGACAGTCTCAGGAGCCGGTGAGTTAATAACTTGGAATTACAGACGCACGATATTGGATTTATCTAACATGCTCGTATTCTCCATCTTGTTTTGGCCGATTTCAACATACGCACATCATTTTTCCACTTAATTGCACAGAACACACGGCCTCTCCTGTTGATTTGACAAATGATTATGCTTAATCTTATAGTAATTTCCCACTGGCGGGTGCAGATGTAACATCCGATTTCTAAATGAACTTAAATGTAAAATGATTTTTATGTAACAACCGCAAAGTTTGAAGCCTAAACCAGCCAACTCTGGTGATTATTCCAGCATCATCACGCATCAACTATTCAAACTTGACTCATGCGTCCCTGCACACTGAGTCAGAGCTCGACTAAACTGAGAAACCACCACATCGTGATCCAGCTCAGCTCGTCGACCCAAAACACTTGCTCAACAACAGGGCTCTCAGAAGAATGTGTGTGTGTGTGTTTCAATGCTGCAGCGCCACACGACAGCATCTTGTGTGCGTCCTCAAACGGCCCTGAGACGACACAAACTGTTTGCTCTTGCTCAACGTGTCCCCAGAATTTGACACATTTCGGGATGGCGAGGGCTCCCGGCGAGAGAGCGTGAGGGGGCGCCGGGATTATTGCATGAGTCAGTTAAAAAAGCCGAACGTTGTGTTCTCAGCAAAACTGCTGCCGAGCCAATAAATCAACAAGCAGCGGTGAATATTAATTTGGATGCACCGTGTGTGTGTTAGGAAGCGACAAAGACAAAAGCTTACACACTGAAAACACAATAATACGCACACGGGGGACCACGAGGATACGATTTTCAGCTTTTAAACGTCAATATGAGAGAACAATCTAGTGCAACACGGGAGGCAGGAGCATCAGCTAAACACCTGCCATGTGATAACATGTGGTCGAGTTAGCCGTGAGCCATCCACCTCTAGACCAGAACCGCTCCGAGGCCTGTCAGGAAGCCAGGCACGCGGCGGACACGCTAACAACCATTACTAATGCTCAATGGACATCCTCGACTGCACATTACAGAGTGCTGGGGCCGCAGGGACGCAACCGTCTGAAACAAAAACACATTTCCAGTCCCTGCCGTCGGTGTCCTTTGGATGAAATGATGAAATAAAGTGGTGCCGAGTGAAACGTGATATTTGTCAGAGCCTGGAAGCAAACATGTGAAGCATTTATCGACGGGGATTATCTCCAATTTTGGTGCATAAATCAGGCGAATACGAGCGCGTTCGGTTTTAAAACATCTCATATTAGACACCTGTAGCGAGCGCAGTCAGCTTCTTTGTACCTGCTGCTTTGTCAGATGATCAAAAATCAGAAGCGCTCGCCACTGTGTGTTAAAGACGTCGCTGTGGGAGGCAAACGGGCTCACAAGACAGAAGCTACTGTAGGAGGACTACACCTGCCAAACGAAATAAATGAGACTCTGGGAACTTGTCAGAACATGGAAGCGACTTTAGCAGCTTGAGGAGGAGATGTCAGCATGAAATCCTGAAAGCCGTTTAGCTCTTGACACCCAGACGATGGACACAGAGATCTGTGGTTCGCCAACTACTTCCTAAAAATAACGCAAACTTTAAAAGAAATCCTGAGATTTCCCTGTTTATTTACGCATTTTGTGAGAATATAATTTAAAATTCTTGCAATTTTGCAGAGCTCAAGGTGGAGTTGTGCTTGTTCGATGCTGTTAACCTTTAAAACCTTCACGTTTTTTAGATGCACTATACTGATAAATTAACGAATATTTGGTCATTACCACCAGGGTTGATGTTGATTAAAGACACTTACTTGGTGAACCCAAAGATATCCAGGTACAACGACTCAACAAATATGAAAACAGCAATTTTACAAGGCGGAATAAGTAAATTTTGGCATTTCTCCTAAAAAAAAATATTTAAAATTCATTTCTTGTTGTTGACAAAATGCCTGAAAAGTCATCTCTGTGTATTAAAGTTTGCTATTTAGGGGCTTTTTTTCCAATAAAAAAATTCCTGACATAAAAACCTTTAAAATAACGCCAAATATCTGCTAAATAATTTTTTGTGTTCTAAAAAACACAGGACTTTTATGGTCACAGAACTATTTAGAAATATAGATTTCTAACATGATGCTCAAGTTTGTTTTTTACAGTCAACATGTAAATCAATGATTTTTAAAATTCTTAATATACTTTTTTTTAAAACAGCAGCAACTATCTAAAAAAAATTATATTTTCTGCTTTGCGTTGTATTTAAATACAACTAAAAAAAAGTGCAACGTCACTGTTAAACATTGTAAAATAATGAATTAGCATTTATAAAATATTCAGATTTTTGATGTAGATATTTACAGTTTGGGACTTTTTATGGTTAACATGTAAATGAATGTCTGCTTTCTATGATTTTACTTGTCTGTGATTCTGTAAATTAACAAAAAAAAGGAAAAAACAACAAAAAAAAACAATCTAACCATACATTTTTAGACTTTTTTTGAATGTGCAATTTCAAAAAAAGTTAATGCGTTGCTGTAAAAACTCGACCAATGCTTGCTGACGTCTCTCCTTCATTCCACACTGTCATGTCATGTATAAAGAAGCACCAGCCACAGATAAGTGCTTATTGGTGCATCATTAAACCACATATGGCCTGAGTGCAACATGGGCTACACGGGGCGGCTGGTGGTGGAGGGGGGGGCTCCTCCACGCCGTCTGTCTGCCGGTCTGCCCGCTTTAACTGGGTCAGCACCGACGACTGCGCCAGGGCGCCAAACCCAACAGCTGCTCATTTAGCATCTGTACGAGCACCCGCACTCCAAGAGGTCTGTCTTCTCACAACCCCCCCTGCATCCTTAATCCCCCCCTTTGGGTTCCTCGTACACAAACATGGTGGGTGCAAATGTGGGGCGTTTAGTGGACATGCTGAACCACCTGCATGCCCTCGGTTTGGATGAAACCAAACCTTAATCTGTGTTGTTTTAATCAAAAAGAAACCTAAAAGTGAATCCTTCTGAGAGAATAATTGGAGACCTAATAAAGCGCCGTTTCTCCTTTTAAGAGATCAACAGGGACACCAGGCTAAGATGTTTTCCGTGTTCTCTGGTGTAGCGCAGGATTAGAGGAGCATGTGACCTTTAGCACAACATCATCTCCGATCTTTTATTTTCACACTCGCTCCCTCTGCTAACGGGCTAATGAAGCAGAGCGGCTTTGAGCACAACAACAAAAATAATCCTGTTAAGATTGCCTCAACAACACAAAAGGCTTTCCTCGCTGTACATGGAACGACGCGTGTTTACAGCTAACATGTCGAGATGATACGCAGCTTAACGGAGGCCTGAAAACAATGGATTGGTGAGAACAAACACGAGCGGAGTCAGCAGATCCATCCCGTTATTGGTTCTGTTGTAGGTTATTATCACATGCTAATGAAATACCTGCTGTATTTTTAGCACGAGAGGTTGTTGTCGGAGCAAAAGATGCTGCAAAGAAGACATCTACATACATATACCAAGTCTCTTGGAAAAAATCCGTCTATTTAACCCATTGTTGAACCTTCTGGCTTGTTAGATAGAAGACAGTTTATTTACTGAAGTTGCTGCAAGATCCCACGGACCGGATCTCTACAGAACTCGCACCAGACGGGCTGATTGAAGTCTGACAGTTAGTGTTCTCACCTCACAGGTGCAGGTGACTCTGCGTGGGTGAGGCGCTTCCTGCTGGAGCTGGTACACTGCGACACAAAACACCAACAGCTGACGGTCTCTCGTTACATAGTCCTCAACACAAACACTTGCACAACCAACTTGGGGATGTTTTTTTTATTCAACTAATAGGTTTTCTTCTGGCTTTAAAAAAGGCATAACTAAGTGACAAAAGGCAGTGTGAGGTTCTCACCAACACACTCTGGTCCCAGATTCTCAATAGGATTCAGCTTTGGACTCCAAAATGTTGATATTGTCGCCTGTGAGCCACTTTTTGCTCACTTTGTCTGCATGTTTCACATCGTTCTCTTGCAGGAAGCTCAAATGCTGCCTTTGATGCAGACTTTTCTGATGTTTTCCTCCTGAATCTGGACATCATCCAAGCAGTCCAACTCTCTCTTGGTGATGCACCATAAAAGCAAGACACTGACTAATAACTGACTGCACGATGACTGCATCAGCTGTTCTCAGTGTTTAGTGTGTTAGATTGATCTCAAACATGGTAGAAAGTAACAGGAATGAGATAGAAGCCGCAAAAACAAAGAAAAAGGTGTCAATTTCAAGGGTATGAATAATTTCGGACATTGCAGCTTTAGCATAGAACTAGTTCAAATGTGGGGCTGCGAGGTGGCTCAGTGGTTAGCATCGTTGCCTCACAGCTAGAAGGTCGCTGGTGAGGACACTTGGATCTTTCTGCATGGAGTCTCCATGTTCTCCCCATGCAGCATAGGTTCTCTCTGGGTTCTTCCTCCCACAGTCCAGAAACATGTTGAGGTTAATTGGTGATTCTCTGATTGTCTCTTAGTGTAGCCCTGTGATAGACTGGTAACCTTCACTCAAAGTCAGCTGAGATGGGCTCCAGCCCCCCGTGACCCGAGTGAGGATTAAGCGGTGTATTGATAATGGATGGATGGTTCAAATGCATCACAAACATCTCTAACACAATGATCCCACTGTCATTTCCAGCCAGAAGAAACGTATTGGTTCAATAAAAATTCACTACTACTTAGAATTTCTCTTAAACATGGTGTTTCATTGATACTCACAGTAGGATTTCCACACCGGCGGCCTGTATTCATCATGATCTGAGGACAGGAAAAGCACAACAATGCCTTTAATTCCCTTTGCTACGGCGCCCCCAAGTGGACAAAACATGACAGTAATCTGGCAGTTCTGCATTTTGATGGAAACCGTCAGGATTTTTGTCCAACACATCTAATCCAGAGAGAGCTTAAAGTACAAACACTATCAGTCAAACACTTAATGGACGAGAAGCTGGATGAGAGGACTTTAGAGCGATCTCTTGATTTTCACGGCTAAGTGTAAAAGGAAATTTTGCAGTTTTATTCATGCCGCTGCCAAACAAGCGCGGCTAAGTAAACAGCTTAATATGTTCTCGCCCTGACAGCATGACAGATGTAGTCAACTACTTTATTTTCTTTAGCGTGCAGGCAATTACGCTGGGTTATCAGATTGATGGATGGAGTGCTTTCCCCCAAACAGAAACAGCACCGAGCATAAACGGCGACTAAGTAGCTTAATAAATAGATCGACTCCGTGGAGCATAAAAAGCTGTGAAAGATTCATTTGTACTGCGTGCTGCGGAAAGGATGGCTTGTAAATGAGCTGTTTATCTTTGGCGCACTCAGACAAGCTTTCTCCGTCGTCCCCTCAGGCCTCCACCCGTCTGAAATTAATTGTAGATGGAGATCGGCATTACGGCAGCGTTTCCTCGTTTGTTCAGCTGCAGCCGATCATAAACACTGACATTAATATCAGTAAATGCGATTAAAGGCGAAACGTCTTCTCTGCGGGCGCTCTTTTGGAGTTTGGCTGAACTCTGGAGGAGCGGCTCAGAATCACGGTTTAAGATTCCTGTGAAATCCTTTCCAGGTACTGATTTAAATTCAGGACTGTGGTTCAACAAACTGCTGCAAAGTCCTGCCATTTGCAAAGGTAATATTTCAGTTTAACAATGAAGATTAGATGTAAAACTGCATGTGTTGACATTTAGACAAACAAAGTTCTGTTGCATAAACGTGAGAAAGGCAGAGCTGCTTAATACAACATGCAAATTTTGGTTATCTGTACCAGCTTCCTTTTCTTTATCTGCTGAAAGTTGCTCCTGCATTGCAACTAAATACCCAACATTTAAAATCCCACTTGAACCAATCCCTTAAACAGACAAAAAATCTCTTCACTCTGGCTGTGAGTTACGATATCATAGAAATAAATAGGAAGTTTAAAGCTAGAATTCGTTCGGCATCTTCTAAATTCAGGACCGTCTTCCATCTTTTCTGCATGGGTACAACTCACAGCCCAGTTTCCTGCCTCGGTGTACTCTGTGTTCGCTCCGCAAGTCCTTATCTATTCAACACTCGTCGTCTCGGTATCCTGTCTTCAAAATAACTCCCAATCCTCCCCGGGGCAAGTGTCTCCTTGTGGAGGCAGCGCAGCCAGACAAACTAACAAGGAAACCAGACATAACATACAGCCTGCTGACCCTCACGCCGTCCAGAGCCCAGGGTTGTTACTTAAGTGCTGCTTATAATCAGGTTATACTTGCACTTTGCCTTTTTATTTCCCTGCACTACCTTTTTCAGGCAGGAAGCTGAAAATATGCATTAAAAAATATGTGAAAGTTAATAGAATAAATGATGCATTAGGCACTTCTTTTAACCCTCCTATTATCTTTGGGTCAATTTGACTCCATTCAATGTTTAACGTCTCTAAATAAGTCATTGGCATAATTTTTTCAGTTTTATTTAAAGGGCCATTTAAACTTGGGTAGCAATTTTAATTATGATATTTTCTGGAGGTTTGAATTGCTGGGGTCAAACTGAACTCAAGGATAAAAGATGTCAGTAAATTTGAAGGCAATTGGAAGGTTAAAATGACTATTTTGCTTTATGGTAAAGCTTGCAAAATACAAAGACTCAAGCAGTGGCTGATCCTATATAATGCTTCAAAAGTCCAAACAATGACTACAGATTTCTGTGCATTGTTTTTGAACCCTTTCCTGCCTCGCCAACCTCCTCACATCCCCTCACATTTATCTTGTGGAGCTTTGAAGGTGGCTCCTGACCCACAGATTAGGAATCAGCTGAATGTATACAACCCAGTTTAAACTGGCTCCAGCAGCAAAAAAAGCTTCTTATGCATTGATTCATCTGTAATAATAATAATCTTAAAATGGAGCATTTTTGAAGCACTTTTCCCTTTTGATGCTTAACTATTATGTCATGCTATTTCTGCACTTTTACAAAAGTAGGACATGCATCCGGGACTTTTACTAGTCATGTCTTCAGGCTACCTCACTGGACACCTCCCAGTTTTATCAAAATACATACAAGGATATTATCAGCTGAGGTGATAAGACAGAGAGATTTCTAACCTTCCACTGCAACCGAGCAAAGTGCACACACAAACACACCCCTGACACACTCGCATACAGGCACAAAGAGCATCATTTAAAGTGTCACTCTGCTTACCAAAGACATTTAGGGCCATCTTGATTCTCTTGATATGATGAACAATTAACCAGCGCGTCCGAATTTCCTCCAAAAAAACCCACTTAGTTCAAATCCTGTCAGAGAGGAGACATAAGAAAGAAAAAAAAGAGACACAACGTGAGTGCATGCGGCTGCTTTTTGAGCTAAGCTAACGTGGTTACAGTGAAAACAGCTGAGTAACGATAAACAATAATCAGACTCTCAGAGAGCTAACGTTAGCGGGCTCGCTCCGCGTTACTTTAGTTGGCAGCTCGAGCCGAGGATAAAACGGAACACGGAGGTGTTTTTCTAAACTACATCATACAGAAAACACTCGCTTTGTATTGTAGTAAACGTAGACGGACGACGGAGCGCACCAACGAGGACACAAACGCCGGTTTAGTCATGAAAAGGCTGGCTAATAATACGTAGTACTCACATACACATCCATTCTACATTATGGTCGCCATCTTGCTGGGTCACGTGACCAGTCTCGCCCTCTCTCCGGGGTAACTATGGCAACAGACCCTGCTGATGCTACCGAGTGGTGAAGACGTCGTTCTGTCGGGTTTGTTTTTAGTCTAATATAATTAACTCAGGTTGTGTTAAAAGGTCATAAGGTGCATTTGTGAATACTATTTTTGTGTATGTGTTGGGTGGAAACAGTAAAACTAACCAAAGTTTCAGTCATTTAGCAAACTAGCTAAATTCACCAAAGTGTCCCGTCACAACCGGAAACCAGCCTGAGCATGAATGACTGTACAGGTGTGGTTTGGAATAAAAACCATGGTTTCACTCCGGTGCTTCACGGCCGGTTAGCTCAGTTGGTTAGAGCGTGGTGCTAATAACGCCAAGGTCGCGGGTTCGATCCCCGTACGGGCCAATGAGCTTTTTGTGCTGTTTACTCCTGAGGGACGCTGTGTTTCAGGTCATAATTATTTATTCTTTATTAGCATTCGCTCCCACAAAGTGGTTGCTGGTGTTGGTGGGGCCCCAGGGTAAAACTTATGATTGCATTTTACAAAACATGACAAACACATCATAAATAGCAAACATTTAATTGACATACAAAGCAGTAAATGGATCACAATTAAGGAATGTTGACACTGTTAATATGACACTAATACAGAAGAAGAATACTCAAGTATTCTGTGCCAGTTGTCCCCTTGTTTTCTTCATCAAAGAGCCTATGTTTGTCTCTGATATGTAAAGAAAGTGAATTCAGTGCTTTTGCTCCTCTGTGAACATGAATTCTTTCCATGAAGTTGATATTGGAAAGGTAAAACAATTTACTGAATTTGTATTTATTTATTCATTTTTTAAATGGCAGATTATCTGGTATAATTTCCAACTGCTTCTACAACCTCAGTGGTGAAGAAGCAACAATACTGCAACCAAGAATCCTACAGTACAAGTAAAATCCTGCATTGAAACTGTAATTT